AACAAACAACCAGCAATTGCAAGTAAACACAGTCTCTAAATGGTGCAAGATGTGGAAAATTAGCTTAAACACTTCCAAGTGCTGTGTGGTGCTATATCGATGGTACAAGGCTACAACGAGAGTTAATACTGAAATAAAAATAGTTAATGAAGTTCTGCCAGTGGCAAGTTCTTATAAATACTTAGGAATCATAATTGAACAAAAACTCACATTCAAGGAGCATACAAATGGTGTAATTAATCCTGCAAATTCCACCTTCATGGCAATCTGTGGCTTAATTGGATGTAAATCAAAATTAAGTTAGGCCCGGTGGCGCAGTGGCTAGCGCATCGCGCAGCAGCACCACAGGTCTGGGGTTCGATTCCCGGGCTGGGCAAAGGTCGACTCAACCTTTCATCCCTTGATTTCCATCACTTGGGTCGATAAAATGAGTACCAAGTTCGCTTGAGGACTAAACACAGGGGTTCCTGAGACCAAGCTGACCACTTGTTCAGGGCATATGCTTACGCACCCCGGGGCCCACGGTCAAGAAAGCAGATTTCGGGCACTGCAGGCCTTGGCCCATTAGGGCTGTTACGCCACTGAGTTTAGTTTAGTTCAAAATTAAGTATCTGGACAAAAAGAAGTCCCTACCTCACCCTAATTAGGCCCATTATCCTCTATGCAATCCCAGCCTGGGCTACCGCAAACAAAAAAAGACAAAAAATTACTGTATTACAAAACAAGATCCTCAGAGCGATAGCAAATGCACCATGGCTTGTGAGAAATTCAATCGTCTATGAAGAACTTAAAATTAAACCTATTTATGATACAGTTCTAATTACGGCTCACAACTTCTTCGAAAGTACTAAAAACATTCTTCGTACTCAGCAGTAAAGGAATTAACAAATTACGACCCAAGAATTGAAAATAGGTCAAAAAGCATATAATACATCATGACTCGCGTTGGGAGTAAAATATAAATAATTTTAATGTGTTATTGTGTTAAGTGTATATCTGGCAAAAGCAGGTTAAATAGACTTTGCGTGACAACTACTTTTGAGTTACTATGATTTACTTTATTTGATTAATAATTTTATCTATTAATTATATGTGCATTATGCTAATTAACACCAACGCCAATAACAATAATTACTGGACTGAGAATCTACTTGAATCACATGACCTCCCACAACCAATAGCAAAAGAAACCCGACATAGAAAAATTTATCAAGAGAATGTTATTTGTGTTGTCTTGGATTTTCAACTGCACGGAAAAGTATGGAATCTGCTATTAGTAAATGACAAAACGGCTTTAGGATTTTGTTAAAAATTGCATATTAATAATTTAATAACTTCGTCAATACAAGTTCAACATTCGTCGACAGTCACGTGATCCTGAATTCATGTATGAAAATGAACTTCGAAAAATTAACGAATCTTACGCATTCTAGTGCCGTAAATAATTCTCATTTAGTAAATTATTCAACTTAAATTGACTTATGGACATTTACTAGGGCCTTTCTCATAATAATCATGACATTTTCGCCTTCGGGTGACAATGCAAATCCACTTTATTACAAATTACCGTGAATGGTACAGGGCAAATACCACAAATACAAATTAAAACTATAGGTATCTACATACCAGAAGTAAAAAAAAAAAAAAAGAAAAGAAAAAGAAAAGAAAAAGAAAAAAAAAAACTGAAATGTTTCAGATTTTAAATTACGTCCAAAGGGGCGTTTTTTAACATTTTGTGTGTTACCTTTCTTTATTAAATATCATGTTCCTCGCACTTAAACCATAAGATCCAGTGCAACAGCAATATCGCAAAATAGTTTTAAAACGAGCCTATCTTTAGAATTTCCGATACAGAGACTCACGCGCTGGAGATATAAATGTTTTTTCTGCACAACGTTGCCATTGCTCGCTTTGAAATCCTTGAGTTTGTTAATCAAAAATTCGTCAAAGTTTTAAAAAATAGGAAATCGATCATAAAACAAATTTCAAATTTCAAATTTGGTCTTCCACATGCTCATATTCGTTGGAGGATTACGTTATTCAAAATTCGATGACTCTATGTACCGTTATTTTATGACAATGTGAGAAATACATTTACGCAGATTTTCATTATTTAATTTCTTCAAATATAATGCAGGACTCTAACATTTTATGGCAACAGTTTGAAAAGTGAACCGACATTTATCCGTCCGACGCAAAATGCCAAAACGAAACTAATAGTCCTTCGGGATTCAAATCCCTTTGGACTAAAAATAATCCGTGATCAGACATCAGTTTCTCAATTCATAGCTGACTTTGAAGTATTGAGATATATCTCCGTGTAAGCTTCGCTCTTTAGATGCATTTTGCGCTGTTTGAAATGTCACTGCTGACTGTGCTATGTGATACTGAGAAGAGTTGTACAAGTATTTGTTGTGGAAAGTTCCAAAACTGTAAAGTATTCCTTTTCCAAAAGAAACACTTTACCGTTCTGGAATAAATAAATTTTATCAAGCTATCTTCGGTTCTGTGCGCGTTCAATTTATTACGAACACGTACTAATATTACAATATTAATATTACAAAGCGCATTCAAAATAATAGCAAACAAAACTGAAATATATATGAAACTTGATAATTTATTGATTTAACAACTGAAATATACATGAATTTGTAAATAAAATCTGAGCCAAGTTATGAATTTACATGAAGAATAAAACTTTAACGTTTAATAGGAGTTATTGGCATATTTAATTCAAAAACATCTTATTTTGATGTAGATTTTATAATACTTCCAAATTTTGGTCTTCAATAAACATATTATTTAATAGACGTGATTTTGTATAATATTTATGAATACATAATTAATATACAATTTGAATAATTACAGAGGCATAAATACTCATAATAAAAGTATTTTACAATATTTACATTTTTTAAAATTAGTTTTTAATTAGCCAAATGGAACGAAATAAGAATTTAGAAGTGGTATAGCAAAAATCTCATGAATCATGTATGAAAATGAAATAACAAAAGGAATGCGGTGAAACTGGGCTGTTGGAATTTTATCACGCAGAGTGAAAAGTAGAGGTGAATATCGGCTGACCATATATTCCGTTTCGAAAGGGACGAGAGTATTTTTAAATGACAATTTCGTTCCTTTTTTCATTATGCCTAAAAATATGGGTACTATTTTGTTTTGAAGGCCGTAAGAAAATTGCCGCGAAAATGTATACGCAAAAGCGCCAAATCTAGCAAACGCCCCCATTTAACAGCGCGCCAAATCTAGCGTACGCATTGATTTCAGATTGCTTAAGTTTATATAGTTCTATATTTCTTAAGGCGCCATTGAAATACTAGTTTAATTTTTAAATCCTTTTTTTGATTTTAAATCCTTTTTTTTTTTTTTTTTTTTTTTTTTTTTATTTTTTAATTTTAAATCCTTTTTTGATATCCTATGGATTTAAGAATTTGGGAATTGACTATGACGAAAAGTCGGCAATAGAATTTTGGGCAAAGTGCAGAATCACCCACTGCTTGACGCGTTTATAAGAATTGCACATACTCGGTATCCATGTGCACATAGACCTATTTTCACTTAAAAAAAAAATCCTAGAATTGCACAAAAATGGCACTGCGCACACCCTTGCCTTTATCTATGTACACATCGACCTATTTTCACTTAAAAAGTAAAAGAAAATTGACAAAATTCCAATTGTATTTATCCTTGTAAAAAGCGGCAAACAAATAACTGAGCGATTCTGCACTTTACGAGAATATTTTCAAAGAAAAGGCATCGTTTATTATAGAAAATTATGTTCGAACAACTAACGAGATGAAATTATGCTTTAGCGATAAGTCGGTAGCGAAATAGCAATGCAGGCATCCATTCGGTTATGTTTAGCAATTTTTGTATAAATTATAATAATGATCTGAAATAGGTATTGACTCTTATGCTTCCATTCAGTCATGTTTAGCCTTTTTCATATAAATTTAATAATAAAAAAGTATTATATGAAATTAACCTTTCATCTAAATTAAAACATCAATCTTAGTTATTTACTACTATACTTCCTTTCTTGCCGCAATTATTAGGGTTGCCGTAATTCTTTTTGGCAGCATTGGCATCAACAATGATTTGGCTATTTTTTACGGCCCTCAAAACCGAATAGTACCAAAATATGCTATCATTAGACAATCATAAATAATTATTCATAACTTGTAATTATTTATGATATATCACGGGAAAGGATAATTATTGAATAGAGATATTCGGTTAATACTGATATTTGAAATATTTTCAGAATAAAAAAAAGTTATAATACAACTCAATATATGATTATGCACTAAGACAATAAAAAATTTAGACCTGTATCTTATCGCTTGGCAGGTTTAGTTGAAGTTTTTCTAGGCTTCTGGATCGTTTGCAGGAATGCGTTATCTTATGCATTAAGAAAATTAAATTTTGATACAATTTTTGTTCTATGAAGTATGCGGAAATTATGACAGGTTCAGACATACTGTAAAAGAAAACATGTTAATAATGTAAGCGGTTCGTTACATATTTCTTATTTATTTATTAGATGGCTTATTAACTTTTATTTATTAGAACAAAATATCATTATTTTATTATAATAATTCGTATAATTATAATAAAATACTGTATTAAAATGTAGTAATTCCCTTTCATTAATCATTTATAGAATTAATTAATTGTATTAATATTTATTAAATTCTTCATATTTAAAATTAACAAAATATATGAATGTTAATTAAATCTTAATTCATTTGATATTATATTATATTATAATAATATTTTATATTAAATAAATTGCAGTTTATTTTTTAAATGGCTTATTAAATTTATTAAGCCATTTATTTCATATATAGCGCCACTGAAACACAGTTTTTAAATATGAAAATAAATAAAAAGTGATTAAGAATATATACATGGAAAGGGTTCCATTAAGTAATTTTAATATGTTGTTAAATCCTTAATTCCATTAAATTTAAATTCTTACCAATTTTCCAAAGCAGGGCGATCCCTGCTTTTATAAATTATTCAGGCGTACAAATCATGAATTTTGCTCAGCTCGGCTAAAAAAAAAAATGGTAATTCGATTTGATTTATAGTCAATATCATAATGATTTTAATTAATTAGTTAATAGCATATTCTAATCTATAAATGGTGCTCTAATTGCATTATTGATACATTGCAAAACTTTAACCTGCAAACTTTAATGCAATATTAGTTACTATTATTTTACTAGCGTAATTAAAGAAAATGCGAAGAGAAAAAAATATATGTGGAGTGGACGCACTCAGCTGATCATTCTTTACTAATGTTTAACAATGTTTTGACATCGTGCGCAGTGAAGTTTTTGATTCGCTTAATCTTATCGCCAAGTCTCAAAATATCTATATGACTTTCAAGTTAGATTTATTCTCTATTTTTTAAATCTCCCATTCTCATTCCAATGTAATTCATACAGCATCCCTATAAGGAAAAAAAAAAAAAAAAAAAAAAGAGAGAGAGAGAGAAGATAATATTCAAGAGAATTCATATTCAAATTACGGTAAAGATTTAAATTTAAGTAAATATCATTCTTCAAAAGAGGTAGATTAGGACATTTCATCATCGTTGACTGTTCATGGTAGAAATATGGGTATTTACGTATCGTCGCAACCATCTTATTAGAAATCGCCAAATTTTCAGTTTGCGCCAAACTCTGGCAACCCTGCACAAAACCAATCTTCTGGCAATCATACTTATAACCATGCAGGCAGGAAGTCAGAAGCTCTTTCTTACCTCCATGCTTATAACAATTCTTCGTCAACCAAGTCGCCATTTTCTTACGCGTTTTTTTAATTCAAACCATTTTCATACGTTTTGGCCTTATTATCAATTTTAAAATAAGCGCTTGTAGAATTTGGAAGTAACGGAAAAAACTGCGATGAATTTTCTGGAAATGGAAAGCGCCATTATTTGGCCATAAAATTGCTAAAAAGAAGAATGTTTTGAATTTGTTTTTAAGAGAACCACGAAATTTCCGCCGAAACAAAAGAAATAAAATCCAATTTGTAAGTAGCTGTTGATTGAATTTTGGAATAAATACCTAATTACAGTGTATTTAATAAGTAATTTTTACTTTTCAGTAACTTATACATATAGGAAAGGGAAGTAATGTTTTCGCTTCAAACATTCTACAGGGAGTTTGACTAGTTAAAAGTTTAGCACATTTTAAAATTCTATATTTTTCAATCAATAAGCACAAATTACGACCCTACAATAGTTTGGATTACATTAACAATGACATATGTCCGTATCTCTGTGTGTATGTGGGTGGGAAGATTATTTCGTCCAGGATGACTCTTATAGCAAAGTTCTGAAAATTTCTGTTCATCGTATTTAAGCTTTCCGCATTTATGTAAAGAGCTGATTAGATTTTGATTAAAATTGGGCAACAGAAAGTGACACTTTCTTTAAGACCACAACAATTTTAATGAAAAGCTATATTAAAATAAAATCGAAAGCTTTTCAATTTTAGTATTTCAGACTTTTATATCGATGGGAACAACATACTAGATTTTGGCTAAAATGGATAAACTGAAAGTGAAACAGTGTTTTTAAACCGAACAGATTTTCGTGAAAAAATATCAGAATATAATCCAAAACATCTGAAATTTGGTATTTAAAAACACATATGATTGACAATAGCATATTAAATTTTGACTATACATGGTAAACTAGAATTGGTCATTTACTTGGCACTATTAACATATTTTTGTGAAAAAATATAGAATCACTAAAATAAGAGTTTTGTAGATATATTTGCGAAATGGTTTTTAAAATGCAATTCAATTTAATACACAAGTAACGTTAAAAACAGGAAAACCTCTATATCAATTAATAACATCTATAGGATCTGTCACACATAGGCTCCTTTAATTTCACCTGTATTGTGTTCATCTGATCGTAAAATATGGAAAGAATTTTATTTATTTCTAGAGGCACCCTATTACACTTCGCTTTTTCCTGAATTGTGCATTTAAAGCATATGATTTCAAACGAAAAATCTGCATAAAATATACGTAAGGAGTAACCATTCTTTCTTACCAGAGATGATAAATCTTTAATTCATATTGGCAAAATTGGAAATTTCATATCATTGCTGGTTGCTACATTGTTTTTAAAGTAGGTCTTTTTTTAAATTCACTTAAAACTCGTTGCTGTTTAAAACACAGAATTGGTGGGGGGTTCGCCACATCAAAATCTTTTGCAGTTGAACAATTACTTTAACTTTTTTTTACCGGTAAAACAAATCTTCAAATTGCGGCAAAATTGTTGCATATAAATTAGCATAGTAAGTTTAATGATAGTGTATCATTAAACATTTTCTAACATTTCTCTTTGATGAATCCTCGTCCCCCTCGTGCTGCGTCCCGCTTTTGTGTGAAGGAAATATGGTCAGCCTGGGCTTATATAATATTCTTCCTTAGGCTAAATATTCTTTCTATATAATTATTATTATTATTTAATTTGTTTAGTATGCTAGCTCTGTTTTTCCACCATAGGTCCGAAACAGAATTTCAAGAAACAGGTGTATTGGATGAAAACTGCACCCATTGCTATGATGGCAAACATAAAAAGGTTTAACTCTCGACTGCGATATCGGTTCTTCTTTAACCAGTTTAAAACTTCACCTGTGTCTGTCAGATTACCTAGAAGAAAACATTAAAATTTTTAAAATACGATTTTTTTCCCATCAAGAATTAAATACATGAACAAAGAAAAACAACAATATAGAGGGTTTGTTAAGGTTCTTTTACATGCTCTGGCTGAGCTCGCAATCTACTCTTGGACTCTTGTTAACATTTTATTGTCTTTAGCTTTATTATTAAACACCGCTTTCTTCGTACTTACGCCACACAAAATGAAATAGCGAAATCGCAAAATACACCGCTGACCATTAAAGCTGCAACACCAGGAAGGAATGATCTGACGAACGTCAAAAATGACATAAAAGGAAGAAGCTGGTATATGCCAATGATTAGTAAAGGGTGGCCCAGAAGTCACTTTACATTTTGAAAATTAAATAACTTTTTCTTAAATGACTGTATTTAATTAATTCTTTTTTATTTTTTGCTTATTCACATGTCCATTCAAATGGAAATGAGCTTCATCTCCCATGATCAACTTGTGAATAAACTCATTGTCATTTCTTGCAGTTCTCTGAAACCTGACAGCATAATTTACTCGTTTCTGAAAGTCTGCTGGTTTTAAAGATTGCACTAATTGAACCTTGAAAACGCGTCACTAAGTTCCTTATTGCAGGCCTACTAGGGGGATGTCGAACATTAAAATGGCGCATATAACGATCTTTGCGTTGCAACAATTGACCGTCCATTTTTAAAGTAAAATTCAATTATCTTCACTCGTTGTTCTGTTGTAAACTTATTCATGCCAAAAATTTCCAGGGATTATATTTTTTAATTCTGAAAAGAGAAAAAGAAATATATTAATAGAAAAAAAGTTATTTAATTTTCAAAATGTAAAGTGACTTCTGGGCCACCCTATATTTCAGCGCATTTAGAAGACGATGGAGGGAGAAACGACATATGAAGCACTGCATAAAAGAAAAGTTGTGTGGTGGATTTCTCCTTCGGAAAGCGCTTTGTAAAGTCGAAGTTTGCTCAGAATATCGTGTTATATCTCGAATAACAAGAAGGAATGCTTACTAGCAAATGTCGGAATTCGATAGCGGCAGGATCGTTGCCTATATTATCGTTCTGCGATATCGTCCGTCGCACTGGTCGACATCCAACCACTGTAAAGCGAATATGGAATCAATGGGTTGCTGAAGGTCATACTGAACGGCATGCAGAATCTCAACGCCCGAGATCCTATGACCGACGCTCGAGAGGACAGACATATTGTGAGGTCAGCCCTGCAAGACGGTAAAACCACATAACGAGGTATTAGTCAGGAAATGGGTATCTTTGCAACACGCCCCAGTATCTGCTCGTACGGTGAGTCGACGTTTGCAGCAGCATCGACTATGAGCAAGGCGACCACTACTTCGGCTTCCCTTGACAAAGCAGCCTAGGGAGAGACGACGACTGCGGTGCGCCGAAACAAAGAAAGTCTATGTAAAGAAAGAAAGGCTCCATAGACGTAATGTAAACCAGTTTGTCTTCTACGCCGCTAGAAAGAAGAGGGACAATTCGCCAAGGGATTTGGCGACGGAACCTGTTGGCGAGAATTTTCCCCTTTGTGATGTACCTGCCCGAGATTTTTTGTACAGGAAATTGAGGAACACAGGTTAAGATGAATCGTTCTTTGACTTTTCGCGATAATTTAAACTCGAATTTTCGTGCTTTACTAGTTGAACTTGTATTATCCATATCGCAGTTTGATGTCTGATTTTATATCTATCAATATGTAGAGAAGAAAATGGAGTAACACAGCTTTAAACTCTTGATAAACGTGACCGTCGAGCCTGTTCGAACTTCGACATCAGCTTCGAGCTTTGGCGCTTTTTGGCGACAGATATTTCACGCATGCGCAGTTGTGTCCCTTTCCGTTCGGAGCTTTCCTTCTTAAAAATACATATTCTTTGGCCGAAAGACAAAGCTGGATATAGGAGTGGCACATTGTCGTCTTTCCAGACGAGTCCCGGTTCTGCATGCAGTATCCTGATTGGCCGTATACGTGTCTGGAGTGTCCGAGGAGACCGCACGTCGCTTGTTTGCATTCGATATCGGCATAGGGGCCCTACACCTGGTCTGGTGGTTTGGGCAGCCATTGGGTACACGATACGCACATCTCTACTTCGGGTAGATGGTAATTTGGAAGCAAATAAGTACGTTTCTGACATCTCTCGTCCAATGGTTGTGCCCTATCTTCAAAGCCCCCAAATGCCACGTTCCGACAAGGTAATGTAAGACCACATGTTGCACGTTGTGTTCCGACCTACCTCGATACATAGGGTATTCGACTGCTGGCCTGGCATGTACGGTCTCCAGATCTGTCACCCATTGAAACAATTATCTCCTCACATGTGGTTGGAATGAGTTGTAAGCTCCAATAAGTAAACTAATATGTAAACTAACTGCCAAGCTAAACTAATTTGCGTTGATTTAGCTTTAAATAGAAGGTCTTTTACACCCTTCCAAAGTTTCATTTGTTACTTATCGATAATTCACTGCCAGTCTATTTAAAGTTTGGTTACAATTTATGATACCACAGAAAATTACTAAACTTCATAAACGACTTAATTATAATCAATAATGGCTATAAACTATGACTAAATAATGATAAAAAAATCCCCCAAATCATTCTTTTACTAATAAACTAATTATAATAAGCAATGACTATCAATAACTAAAAAATAATGTAAGTAATGATTATAAACAACTAACTAGAAATAAACTACTACTAATAAGTACTGAATATAAAAAAATTATGACTAATAGTATAAATAATGATTAATAAAGGACTATGAATACTAAGAATCTTATGCATGTACATAAATATGTATGTATTATGTTCTTTGCAGTTTACATTATGGACAAATGACGGTGCCTAGAGCCGCCGAAGTTTTAAACAAAAGTAGATCTTCACCCGAACATGGACACCACGAAGATTGAAATTGTTTCCAATTTATTTAACATTTTTACGAATTTAATGAATTTTTGCAGCGATCTGAAAGTGAGCAGTGACAATACCACTGGAAATAAAGCAAATTGATCCCCAAAGCGCAGACAAAATACCATTGACAAAACTACTATACCATTTTGACTATACCATTGACAAAATACCATTTGACAAAATGCTTGATATTGTTACGAAATATACAGGCGCGGTAAGATGGTTTCCCCGCAAAGCAATTTTAGGGTTGCCATAAAATGGCAAGGGAAGTCATGGTTGCCACATTTGGCGACAAAATTGGCGATATACATGGACGGATGGAGATGCTCCAGAAGGTTCTTAACGGTTCAGCCCAGAATGTTCTCGAACACAAGCCGAAAGCTATATAAACCCTGCTGGTCCGCAGTCAGTTAGTGTGTATGCCTTGTCTAGTGAGCTGATAGTCAGTCATTGAGCGAGTGTCTCGAAGTCTAGCGCCGAGTTGGTCGTCGAGTGCATCGAGAGAGTCTTTTAGTGCGTCGCGTGGAGAGTCTCGAGAGTACATGGAGTTCCGAGAACGACCAAGCAGAGTTGGGAGGTGTACTCCGGTCCTTTGCAGTGAAGCTGTCTCCGCCGTTATTGCCTGACAGTGTGAAGGTTGTATCGCTGAACGTGTCAGCGTGTTTATAACAGTTCGACGACTGTAAAAGTGATTTTGGAGCTATATGATTAATATTGATAAATAAAGTGTGTTTCGATACTTCATCAAGTGTCGTCGTTATTCACTCCAAATCTACGAACCCCGTACGAACGTGAAGGAAGAAAATAACGTAACAATATTAATCTTAACGCCTTTATCAACAAACACCGCTATTTAAAACCAACGTGTTGCCACTACCGGGAGTAAAATGCTTTTATCTTTCAACCATTCGATAAAACCTAAAGCGTATATTTAATCTGCCTATTACTGATTTACAAAACAGGCGATTTAAAAGCAATGTACGCAATTCTTAAGAATAGTTTTCCTACTTTTTAATCTGATTAATTTAAATAAAAATTTGATGTGGACACCCCATGACTTCCTTGTACGCCTATTAAATTATGCACATTATTTGCTGTACTTCCTTTAAATTTATTTCTTCCGATTATTCTAAACTTAATTCACGATGCCTCAAGGTAAATTGAAAACGACATCAAAAATTGCAAATTTTGAAGTTGACTATCCTAATTCGTCTTGGGAGTCAAACTTTTTGCAGTTTTACTTTTTCATATCGAGTATAAAACTTTCCGATATATAAGTGTACTATATATAAGATACTGTATCCCGGTATATATTTCCCAAATATATAACGGGACACAGCATTCAAAGTTACATTTCGTTATTTGCCTAAAATTATTTTCTTTTTTAAATCTGAAACTGCCAAAAACATGAATATTTTTGTCACGCAAAACACTGTCTGTCTATTGTTTATATAATACTGCTTGTCACTGTCACACCTATTTTTGTCACCGTTATTTGTCTGTAAATTTTTGTCACCGTTATCTGTCTGCTATTCGTTATTTGTCTGTAATTGGATGTATATGGCTATGACCAACGACTGCGAAAATAAAGGCCAGGTAAGGATTTTTAAGTCGGATAAGTGGGTGAGTGCGCGTGTATATGCATACATTGTTACCTGTGTACGGGTTCATAATGAATTGAAAACACACAGAACCGATGATAGCTTGATAAATTTATTTACCAAAAGAAACAGTTTATAGTTCCGGAATTTTCACAAAATTACTCTGCAGCTCTTCGCAGCATCACAGAGAACACTCAGTAGTTACCACTTCAAACTACTAAGAACGTTAAACACAACGCAATGCAAAACTCATCTAAAGAGCGAGACTCCCACGGAGATCTTTATATGCTCAAAAGTCAACTCTAAACTGAAAAAACGAAAACTGATGCTCTGTGCAGTCTTATGCAGTTTTCCGCCCTGGCGGCCGGAAAATCTCTAGCACATTCCTTTTCTCGAAATTGCTGGAAAGCGTATACGTTTAAAGTTACATATAAGGGACGGCTAGGTTTGCAATTATATATACGGATCAA